AGCAGTATCTCAGTGTGCTGAGAGATGTCCTTTGATGAACTGTGGTGCTTCCAGGCAGTAAAGCCCTTAGCCCTCTGTTTCACCACTCTGCCAAAGTTTTTCACTATCAAATAAGAATCAGCAAAAGGGAACCCGAGTCTGTGCTTCGACTATAATGCGCTTTCTACGTCCAATGCGATCTGCTTCCTGTAGGCGCTTCAGAAAGCGTCTGTCATCACCATTGCCCTAAAATAGTTTCAGCCTGGCCTGGCATTTTCTCATCCATTTCTGCCTTTTTCTTACCTGGTGTTTCCTTTCCCATGTTATAATTTGGTCTTTTTCTCTATTTCCCTGGCCAAATCTGACTTTGAAACTTTCTGCTGAGTGGATTAATTTTAAATAAGATACGGTGCCATGAGAGTAGCTCTGTGGAATGGTTTTATTGTAGACACATTTGAAAGTATTTGTTTAACTGAGCTGCGTGTTTAAAATTGCACTCGTGAGCTTATGGGCAAGTGAGGATCGTAGTTCTAATTAATATTTTTGAACTGCACGGCACCCCAGGCAAATTAAGTATGCTTTTCTCTCATATTTTAACCATATAAACAGACGTTTAGAATTGTGCAGCTGTCTTCCTCAATGTGGCACACATAATTAACAAATATCTGAAATATCTGTCCGAAAGTGTACCTGGGTGTGCATCAAATGGGCCTTTGGTATGAGAGACCCGATGATGTAAACAGCTGGACGAGTTACCTGTCATGGGCTCGGGAAACCCAGCTCCTCCCGCAGCCACTCGCTTCCCTCCCCACATCCACTTCTGTTACTATGCAAGCTTATTAGCATTCTTGCACGTGCTTATTTTTAACCTGGTTTTGGGCAGTACCTGATCTAAACCTGACTCTTTAAGATGACAATCAGAAGTTTGAAACAGCACAAAGCTTTCAATATAGCATAGCAATTGTAATTTATGTTGTTGGATCTCTTCTGTGAGAATTTTACGCATGGTATGTGTGCTGCTAAAAGGTGATGTTCACTGTTAGCAAACACCTCAGCCTTACCTCAGCATCCCAGTTCCTCTTACTGCTGTCTCTTGCTTTTCTTATTCTTCCTCAGGAACGTCGCCCTTTTGATGCGATCACTCCACCAGGTCTAGTCAGAGTGAAGAGCTGAACCTGGGCCCATCGATGACAGAGTAGCTGAGTCCCTGTTTTTATAACTGAATTGCACCTACCGCAACTCGCCCTGGAGGGCATGCCAGCCAGTGCTTGTGCATTCCTCTGTGTGTGTCATTAGCACAGTTAGACCTTAATGTTGGATGGAAACCCCTTAAATATGAATTTTACTTGGGAATCACATCCCTTTCATGGGAAACTGGGTACAATAACATACGCTGTTGCTTGTTTTGTGATGTTGATTTTACCAGTCGGTATTTAATTTAGTGATCGGAGAATTCGTGATGTAAATAGCCGCAGACTGCATCTCGGGTATCTCTCGTGATACAGCCACAGAATGCAAAGATGCTATTTTTTCAAAGCATGTAGGGAAATTTTAATGTGTTTATAGTGAAATGCAGCAAGACCTCATCTTTGCCCTGGAGGATTAAACTGTGCCCTCATTTGTGTAGTTTAAGAAAAGGTGCTGTCACGGAGTTTTGTACTGTTGTTGGTATCTGTAGCTGAATTAAACTGCTGCTCAGCGAGCTGCCGCTCATGTCAGAACAGTGCGGCAGCACTGTCAGGGCTTTGCTCCTTGGAAGAGAGAAGCTGTGCCACCAACAGAGGAGCTGGTACTGGTTTTCTGGGGGAGGATGTGAGCACCTGCAAATAGGGAAACAATGAAAAGTTCAGGAAATATGTGAAGTGGGGCTGGCTCATTTTAGCAGTTCGTCACCTGAACAAGGGTATCTTTCATCTTTCACCGTTTTGCTATTCTGCTCATGAAGTTCCCAGTTAACTTTGTCATCTTGCTGCTTGTTGGAAACCGAGACTTTGTCTGTTTTCAGTGGAACAGGATCGTTTTACGTCGCTTATACTGATCCACGTTGTGTTGACTTGCTGTGGACACATAACCCTGTTTGTATGACCAGATTACTTGTTTCACGCGCGGCAGGGCCTGGAAGGATCTGGGTCCCATCCCTTCGGACGAGTGACCCGCAGCGTGCTTTGAAGGGAGTGGAGAGCTCCGGGGACAGCCGAGTTACTAGAGAGGCTCTTCTCCCTGTGCACGTTACCGATGACATCTGATTTAAAGCCTTCAACGCGTTCA